TTGTCTGAAGCCATCAGCCCAAACCCTTTGCTGCGTTTGCCCAGATCCCTCATCCTCCCATCAACTCACCCCACCCCACCTCAGTGGCCACTCCACCGATGCTCAGCACTCACACGGCTCAATGCCTGGTCCTGGTCTCTAGCAACAGCCTCCCTGGGTCCCCCTCCTGGCCTGGGTCCCTGCCGGAGTGTGGCATCCACCCACACCTTTCCCCTCACTCCTGCCCAGGGCGTGCAGCCCCCCTCCCCACCCCACCCCTGGCCGGGCTTGATTTCTAGGATCCCTCGCCAGGAGATTCTAAGATCATTCAGCCAGCTAAGGGGACTGGTCACAAACGACGCCCGCTCCACCCCCACTCCTCACCCCGAGGGCTGGCCTCAGCATCTCTCCTACAACAGTCTGCCCCTCCCCATGCTGAGTTACCTGAAGCCCCCCCAGAGCAGGGCTGCCTCTGAGATTTGGAAGAATCTAGGCAGCTGTGGGGGTGGAGTGGGGGAGGGGGAACCGGCCCAGAAAGTGACCTGGGAAATAATTCAGGAACTGGAGGCTTGCGAATGACTTCCCAGGGATTTCCTGATGTTTTCTCCTGCCCACTGCCTGCACACAGGCAGGCTCAGACTCAGAGGCTGGGGTCTAAAGGGGTGGGAGGGGCCCCTGGGGTGGCACGGGCAAGCAGGCCTCTGGCCAGGCATGGGTGGAGGGGCCCAGTCTGTTTGGGGTAAGGGAGCGGGCTCTGCAGGACTTGAGTCTGTGCACGTGTGACCTCCCGCCCTGGTCAGCTCAGGGGGGCGCTGTGCCCTGACCACTGTCCCCTCTGCTCCCAAAGGCCGGTTCTTATTGCTGTCCCTGCTGCTACTGCTGGGAGCCCAGGCCTCCCAGGGGCTGGTGGTCACACCCTCAGACCCGGAGCTGGTCCTCAACATCTCCAGCACCATCGTTCTGACCTGCTCGGACTCCGTGCCCGTGGTGTGGGAACGACCGTCCCAGGAGACCCCACAGGAAATGACCCAGACCCCGGACGGCAACTTCTCCAGCACGCTGACGCTGACCAATGTCACCGGGTTGGACACAGGAGAATATTTTTGCACGTCCAACAGCTCCCACGAGCTGGAGCCCGGGGAACAACACCGGTTGTACATCTTTGTACCAGGTGAGGGTCTGGGGCCCAAGTGTCCACAGCCTCTTGTCCCTTCGCAGCAGCAGGCACCGGGGGGCAAGGGCGCTCAGAGAGTGCTTTACTGACACTGTGGGAGCCCAGCCGACCCAGGGGGCACTCACAACTAGCTGTGGCCGGAGCCTCTGTCCTCCCCTACCATCCTCCTCATCTCTGGTCCCCACACCTGTTCTTCACCCTCCATGGCCCAGTCGCCCCCAATGTGTGCCTTTGCTCCTTTCTCCCCTTGCTCCCGTCCATCCAAGTGTCAGAACGGAAAGGGACTGACTCTGTAATGGAGACCAATGGCCAGAGAGGGAGAGGACTCGTTTAGGGTCCCAGAGTGACTCAGGGACAGCCAGGCCCGGCTCCTCTGACTCTCGGTCTTGGTCTCCTCCCGGCAGATCCCACCATGGGCTTCCTCCCTACCAGTTCGGAAGACCTGTTCATCTTTCTTTTGGAAGTGGCTGAGGTCACGATCCCGTGCCGGGTGACAGACCCACAGCTGGTGGTGACACTGCACGAGAAGAGAGTGGACATCCCCCTGCCCATCCCCTACGACCACCAACGGGGCTTCTCTGGTTTCTTCGACGACAAGACCTACATCTGCAAAACCACCATCGGGGACAGGGAGGTGGAGTCTGAAACCTACTATGTCTACAGCCTCCAAGGTGAGCCTCTGACTCAGCAGAGGCTGGGCCATGGCTCTCCCTGAACCCCATGAAGGGGGCAACCTCCTTGTTGTCACTGGGTTCGCATAGCCTTGGGAAGACAAAGGAGTCCTGGGGGCCCTGGTGATGTAGTGGTTATGTGTTGGGCTGCGATCTGCAGGGTCGGCAGTTCAAAGCCAGCAGCAGCTCTGCAGGGGAAAAAGACAGGGCTTTCTACTCTCGTAAACAGTCCGGGGGAGCGGGGAGGGAGGGGAAAAATGAGGACCTAATGTCAGGGGTTTAAATGGAGAGAAAATGTTTTGAGAAACGATGTACAAATGTGCTTTACACAATTGATGTGTGTATGGATTGGGATAACAGTTGTATGAGCCCCTAATAAAATGTTTTTTAAAAAAAACAGTTACAGTCTTGGAAACCCGCAGGGGGTCCCTGTGAGTCAGCATCAACTCCATGGCAGTGAACTATCCGGTGGTGTTGTGGGTTATGAGTTCGGCTGATTACTGTGAGACCAGCAGTTCAAACCCACCAGCTGCCCCGCAGGAGAAAGAGGAGGCTTTCTGCTCCCATAAGGATTTACGGTCTTAGAAACCACAGGGGCAGCTCTCTCAATGAACTCACTGCCATCAAGTGGAATCCGACTCAAGACTCAAGGTGACCCTGCAGGGCAGATAGCACTGCTCCATTGGCTTCTGAGGCTGGAAATCTTTATGGACTCCCTTAAGTGGCTGATGATGGGTTCACCTTTCAATAAGAAGCCCGACACCTAACCCTTGCTGGAAGCCCAGTACGTAGAGTAGTACTTGACCAACGGTGGCTAAACCAAAGCCAAACCCAGAGCCCCTGTGTCCATTTCTGGGGCAATAAATACTTTACAGGACCAACTAGTCTAATCTTTGTCCTGCAGAGCAGCTAGTGAGTTTGAACTGCTAACGTTGGCAATCGTAGTCGTCCAACACATAACCCGTTCCACCACCAAGGTTCCATGGGAAGTAAAACCAAAAACCAGACTCTGCCAACAGGCTGGTGCTGACTCCTATGGGCCCCAGAGGACAGGGTAGAACTGCCCCTGTGAGTTTCCTAGGCTGCAGCTCTGTACGGGAGTAGAAAGCCCAGCCTTTCTTCTGTGGAGCGGCTGGTGGCTTTGAACTGCTGCCCAGTGGTAACCACTACGCCTCTGTAGTGAGTACCCGATGGTGCCAGGCTGGCATTTGTTGAGCAAATGCATCGCCCACAGCGGCCATTCCTTGCCTCTTCACACCACATCCCATCCCCAAGGTGAAGTGCAGTGGCCGAGGCCAAGCTGCCCAGCCCTAAGCCCCTGCCCCTCCCCCAGTGTCCACCATCAACGTCTCCGTGAACGCCGTGCAGACTGTGCTCCGCCAGGGCGAGAACATCACCATCATGTGTGTGGTGACCGGGAGCGAGGTGGTCAACTTTGGGTGGTCATACCCCCGCATGGAGGTGAGGCCAGACCCGGACCAGCAGGGGGCTGCCACCTGGCTTCTTGTCGACTCCTCCTGAGTTGGGGGCCTGTCCCACCTGTCCCTGCAGAGCGGGCGGCGGGTGGAGCCTGTGACCGACTTCCTCTTGGATGTGCCCTCCCATCTCCTCTCCATCCTGCACATCTCCAATGCCGAGGTGAGCGACTCGGGGACCTACCTCTGCACCGTCTCCGAGAGCGTGAGCGAGCACCAGGACCAGAAGGCCGTCAACATCACCGTGGTGGGTATGTGCCTCCCGCTGGGCCCAAGGCCACCCGAAGGTGACCCGGACCCAGTCCCGGTCCCAGGGCCACACCAGCCACCTTGCAGGCCATCGCCAATCAAAGCCCAGCGTCCATCCAGTGCCTCTCTGACGACAGCCTAGACCGCCTGGCTAGGCCAGTCTGATTTCGGACCCCTACTCCCACCCCTTGTCCTGGCAGCCCACTCCCAAAGGCAAGGTCTGTGCCAGTCCCAGTCTCCGTCCAACTCACCCCAGCCACAGCCCCAACCCAAACATGCCCCCTGTTGTCCTGTGTCCCGGGCCCTAATGCAACCCCAATATCTCCCGTGTCAGCTGGGCTCAACTTCAACACCAGCCCCCATGACCACCGCAGGCTCGAGGCCAATAGCCTGGAGCCCTATCCCTGGGACCCTGGGGTCTTCAGCATTCAGTGGATGCCCCCCCCTCCAGAAGGAGCTGCCCCATTTGGGACCTGGCACTGGCCGCCACGCCCCGCCCCATCCTGACCATTGTCTCTTGCAGAGAGTGGTTACCTGCTGCTGCTGGAGGAGCTGGCCGACATACAGTATGCCGACCTGCACCGGAGCCGCACGCTGCAGGTGAGCTTCGAGGCCTACCCGCCGCCCACCGTCATATGGCTCAAGGACAACCACACCTTGGGGGACCGCAGCACCGGCGAGATCTCTGTGTCCACTCGCAACGTGTCCGAGACCCGGTGAGCAGCCGAATAGCCCCCACACGGCCTCCAACAAACCCAGCTCCCCCTTCCTGATTGCCAACTCGACCCCAGGCTTGGGACCAAAGCGGTTATCACTCACCCATCCCGGCATGGGGAGATGGGCCAGAGTCATAATGGCCCAGATGTCTAATGACTCTTGTGCTGAGTGGAACCAGTTAGGACTGCCAAGGAGAAGAATGGGGGAGTCGCTGGGGGTGGGGTAGAATGGTCCAGCACAAGCCCTGTCACACTTTCTGAGTGGACCAGAAGGACGGCCAGGCAGGAATTTGTGCTCCCCCATCCCAGCCAGTCCTGCCTCTTGGTTCCTGGAGCTGCCTGTGTGTGTGTGTGTGTGTGTGTGTGTGTGTGTGTGTGTGTGTGTGGTGTGGGAGGAGGGTATGCAGGAGACTGCTGTGGGAGCTGGTGCTGCCACTGACGCCCGCCTCCGCCCTCACTCGCCTACCTGCCCACCAGTTCAGCAGACCCTGCCTCCCGCCCCCCCTCCCATCCCCTAGGGCCTCACTTTCCTGTCCAGACATTGAGGCACGAGGGAGCCTCTTGGCACCACCCACCCTGACAGCCCGGGCCCCTGGCTTCCTCCTCACCGATCCCTAGGTACGTGTCAGAACTGACCCTGGTGCGGGTGAAGGTGGCCGAGGCCGGACGCTACACCATGCGGGCCTTCCACGAAGACGCCCAGGTCCAGCTCTCCTTCCAGCTGCAGGTCAACGGTGAGATGCCCCGCCCTTGCCCTCGTTCCTTCTCACTCCGCGCCCCCACCCTCCAGAAGGGACACTGTGTGGGGCCCTGGGGTGGGCCTCAGCTCCCCTATATGGACGAGGACCCTTTCAGACAAGATCTGGGTTTCTCAAACCTTGGGCATGCGGGTAGAACTGCCACAAACACCCACCTCGCCCCCCACTGCTCCCACACTTTCCAGAGACCAGCTGTTTTCTGAGTAAGGACAGTACCCACCCTCTTCAGGACTGGCAGGGCTTTGGTGTAGCTTGAAGCCCAGGGGAGAGAGATAGGCCTTAGACAATGGGGCGGGTGTGGGCAAGTCATACAGGTGACATGTGCTGTAGGGCAGCAGGGAGAGATGGTGCTGGGGTGGGGCAGGGGCGGGAAGCGATTTTAAATGGTGTGGTCAGGGCTGGTCTCAGTGAGAAGGTGACATCAGAGTGCCGCACTGGCCTGAGGCAGTGAGGGCGTCATTGGGTCCTGGCCCTGAGGCTGGATGACAGACAGGAAGGTGGGAGTGCCTGGGACAGAGGAGATTAGAGAGAGGGGCAGTGGAACCCTGACTTTTCCTGAGGGAGACGAGCAAGGTTTTGAGCAGGAGGAGTGGTAGGGCAAAGACCTCATGTTTGCCCTTCCACTTTCTAAAAATACTTATTTTGAAAGAAAAATATGTCCCCTCGCCACTGCCCATGGAAAATCGTGTCATACTATCAAGCAGCCACTGAAGCCAACCCGGAGCAGACAAAGCAATGGGGCTCCATGGCGCACACCCTTCCCCCTGGACAGGCAGGGGCGCTGAGCCAGGGCTGGAGGGCGGCTTCTTCTTCACTAGAGGGCAGATTAGCAAGTCTGCCCAGGTGTTAAAGGCAGGGTAGCCTTCCACGTAGGCTTGCTCTTTGAAGTTGCCAGAATGGGACCCCATAGGTCTTCACACTGTGACTCCTGCTGTTGCATGTTCACCTGATGTACCCCCTCCCCACAGAGGGGGCCAGGGCCAAGGCCTCCAAGGGTTTTCCCACTTTCCCGCAGACCGTCCATCCCAACAGGCCTGGTGGAGGAGTGGTAACTCGTTGGGCTGCTAACTGCAAGGTCAGCCATTCGAAACCCCTAGCCACTCTGAGGGAGAAAACGAGGAGGCGTTCTGTTCTCGTAAAGAGTCAGGGTCTTTGAAACCCACAGGGGCAGTTCTACCCGTCCTGGAGGGGCTCTGTGCGTTGGCATTGACTTGGCGGCCGTGTTTGTTTTGTTAAGTTTGACGGATTCCAACAGTGCCCCCCACCCCTGCCTGTCTCCCTGTAGTCCCTGTTCGAGTGCTGGAACTGAGTGAGAACCACCCAGCCAGTGGGGAGCAGATGGTCCGCTGTCGAGGCCGGGGCATGCCCCAGCCGCACCTCACCTGGTCTACCTGCAGCGACCTCAAGAGGTGAGTGGAACCCGGCCTCAGTCTCCAGGCACGCAGCTGGCCAGGAGGCCCCAGTGAACCTCATCTAGTCTGACCCCTTCCTCTGGACACATGGTTCCAGGCTAGAGCCACATCTCAAGAGCCCTGGTGACACTGCCTGGTAATTGTTGAACGGCTGGCCAAACCCACCAGCTGAGGCTACCTGCTCCTCAGAAAGCCTATCAACTCCAGGAGCTAGAATGGACTTGGTGGCCATGGGTGGTAGAGCCCTGCCCAGAAGCCAGCCCACCAACCAGCTCCATGAAGTTCGTCCCGCCCTAGAGAGCCCTCCCCCTGATCTTGGCCTCTGGATCGTACATAGCCCCGAGAGTGCGGGGTCTGTGTCCCCAGGACCTCGCCGGCACAGTAGGTCTGCTCTGGTCCCCTGGTCAGTGGACAGGGTTGAGTCCAGGCAGTCACTAGCATCTCTAGGCTAGCAAATGAGAACGGGGTTTGCCATCCTGTTTCTAGGGCTGGGGCATGCGCGCCCCCGCCTGGTCAGTTTGGGGACAGCAGCGGCCCCGCCCTACATCTTCCCACCTCCATCCTGGGGCGATCCCCGCTTTTGACCGCAGTTTCCAGGTCTGCAAGAGAGGAAGGGCGGGAAGGTGACAGGCTGGTTTTTCTCGCAGGTGTCCCCGGGAGCTGCCCCCCATCCCCCTGGGGAACAGTTCCGAGGAAGAGAGCCGGCTGGAAACGAACGTGACGTACTGGGCGGAGGAGCAGGAGTTCGAGGTGCTGAGCACGCTCCGCCTGCACCGGGTGGACCAGCCGCTGTCCGTGCGCTGCACGTTGCGCAACCTGCTGGGCTACGACACGCAGGAGGTCACCGTGGTACCGCACTGTGAGTCCGCCAGCTCCTGACGACCCCTCAGTCCTGCTCTGATCCCCAGTGGTTGGTATTGGGGCCACCAGAGCCAGTGTGCCTATGGACACACAGGGCCACGTGGCCTCTCAGCATCACGCCATCGGCACACACCACCCTGCCCTACGGCGGCCCCCAGTGTATGCGTAGAACTCGAGAGTGGGACTAGCACTCGCTCCTTAAGAGCAGTGGGTGCACGCCGTAGGTTTGTGGTAAGCTTCTTGGGGATGCTTGGCCCATGGACACGGGGCAAACGCTTGAGTGTCGCCTTGCACACAACAGACCCAGATACAAACAACATGCACACGCAGGGCATGTATACAAACCAGCATGCCTCAGCCCCGGGACCTGTAACTAGACACCCAGAACATGCCTGCATGTGTGTACACACGGGTGCTTGTCCCCATTCCCTGGTGCCACCAGTGCCGGGCCTCCTTTAGCCAGAGATGGCTCCCTAGAACCAGGAAGACGTGGCTGTCCTTAGAACCCCAGAGGGTGGTCTGGGACCCTGAGGAGGAGGAACAGGCTCGGTTGGGCCCCTGGTGGGGCAGGTGAGGACAGGGAAGCAGGGGTGGGGTGGCCTTTGGGCAGAGCAGAAAGGAGGGCAGCTCAGGGAGTGGACAGCTGGGAGCAGAGAGCCCAGGCCTTGGAGCTGGAGGAGACAGGGGGGTGCAACTTTGGCCCCACTTGGTTCTTCTCCCAGTTCTACGGGAGATGTGCTTCAGAGCCACTGTCACCACTGTCCAGCCCCCTGTCTCCCCACCCCCACCCCCACCCCTGCCCCCAACAGGGACTGGCATGAAGCCAGGGCTGAAGCACTTCCCATCCTTAGATGGGATAAGCATGCCACTCCTTATGTGAGCAGGGAAGCACACCACTCCATCCCCCGGCCAGGCAGTCAGCTGTGGGCACACAGCTCTGATGGCCACAGTGAGGGTGGGCACAGTGAAGGCCGAGGTGAACCACAGCCCAGCCCCTGGCTCATGGCCTAAGGGCCTCCACGGAGCAGAGCTGGGCAGACAGACCTGACTGCCCCCAACTCATGCAGAAGGGATGTAGAGGCTCATGTAGGTCCGAGCTTGGGGTGGGGAGGGCAGTGCCCTTGGCCCTGTGTGCTAACAGCCTTCTCTGGGTCTTTGCCTCCAGCACTGCCCTTCAAGGTGGTGGTGATCTCAGCCATCCTGGCCCTGGTGGTCCTCACCATCATCTCCCTCATCATCCTCATCATGCTCTGGCAGAAGGTAGGCGCTCCCCGATGGAGATGCCCACAGGCCCATGATGCCCACAGGCCCATGGGAGGCGTTCAGCATAGGGCTTGCCCAGCTCCCCAGTCCTCTATGAAGGAAGCCTGACCTGGACGTGTCTGGGGCCCACATACAACCCAAGGGTGCCCTGGTGTCAAGTGATGCTCACTGGGTGTCAGAACTGCCTCCCCCAGCAGCCTGGCCTGGCCCCTCTGTCCATCCTAGCCTCAGGGCCCAGGATCATTGAGGTAGGCTACACGGGTTTCAACATGATGGATCCACATGGCGGCTGCAACTATGGGCTCAAGCAAAGGAGCAATTGTGAGGATGGCATGAGGGAGGCGTGGGCCCGGCAGGGTGTTGATCTGTAGTACAGAGAGTTGCTGTGAGTCGGAACTGAGCAAGGGCCCCATCAATCACAACACCACGGGCTTCAGGACTCTCCCAGCTCTCCCTGGTCCACATGCACCGGGAGCCTATCTGTGTGTCCTCCTGGTGTTCTGTTCTGGGGTTCGCCACGCTTGAGCGCTGGCTGAGGCTAGCAGCCCCAGATTCTGACATTTCAAGGCCTGCGATTTCAGCGCTTTTAGGTGCCACCTTTCTGCAAGTTCTGCAGGGCTTGGATCCCACACCAGGAGGGCCCCACTTCCCGCAGAGAGCCCCTGCACACCACCACTAGCCTCTGCTCCCACCTGGAGCAGCTACAGGTCAAGTCCTTGGCCCTCAGCCCTCAGCGGCTTGGGCTTCTCTGCCAGCGCCAATCTAGGGATCTTTGGTGCCTGTTCCCTCTGAGCTTACAAAGGACTGGCTCTCTTGCTAACTTGCTGTGTGACCTTGGAGAAGCCTTGCTCCTCTCTGAGCCTCAGGGATATCTGCCCCATCTGTCCTACAAGGGGTTAGAGTCTAGGGAGGACCCCTAATGACCTCCCTGTGATGTCGGGCCTGCAGAAGCCCCGCTATGAGATCCGCTGGAAGGTGATCGAGTCGGTGAGCTCCGATGGACACGAGTACATCTACGTGGACCCCATGCAGCTGCCCTATGACTCCACGTGGGAGCTGCCGCGGGACCAGCTTGTGCTCGGTCAGCGGCGGGGATTCAAGGCGGGAGGGAAAATGCCAGGGTGAGATCTTGGCTTTCCTGGGCCTCCGTCTCCCCATCTGTACAATGGGATGAATCACCTAGCATTGAGGCCCTGAGATCCTATGCCTCTGTGAGATGGTCCCTCGCCTTCACATAGGATGAGAGAAGGCATTAATTGGGGACAGACTGGGCGCTGGGCGAGCTGCGCTCATCCAGGGAGGGAGGCTGGCTTTCAGGGACTAGAGCAGAACTTAGGTGAGGCACCAGGAAGGACCGGAAAATCTCCGTGTGGGGCAGGTCCAAGATAGTTTGAGGAATAGCTGGGTGAACCTCAAAGGGTGCTTTTACCACCCTTGGGTAGGGAGGGTAAGGGTGCAGCTTGCTGGTAGGCTGGGCGCTGAGAGCCTATCTCTACCCTAGGACGCACCCTCGGCTCCGGGGCCTTTGGACAGGTGGTGGAGGCTACGGCACACGGCCTGAGCCACTCCCAGGCCACGATGAAGGTGGCAGTCAAGATGCTGAAATGTGAGTGCTCAGGACCCTCCTCTAACCACCCCCACACACTCCCAGGGCAGGCCTGACTGCAGATACAGGGAAGAGGGTTCCTCCCCTGACCTCTGCCCCATGCCCACCTCCTGAGAGGGAAAGGGGGTCCTCACCACCTGGGCTGCCTGGGTCTCAGTGCAGGGTGGAAGAGAAGGACCAGGAGGGGCTCCAGTGGGGCCTCTGTGAGGGGACCCTGTCTGAGCACCCCTCCCTTCAGCCACAGCCCGCAGCAGCGAGAAGCAAGCCCTCATGTCAGAGCTGAAGATCATGAGCCACCTCGGGCCCCACCTGAACGTGGTCAACTTGCTGGGGGCCTGCACCAAGGGAGGTACCCACCCCACCCCAGGGGACTTGCCTGGGCCTTGTCCACACCCCTCCAACAGGATGCTCCAGCTGGAGGTCCAGCCCCCCACTTCCCAGGCCCAGCAGTTCCCACGCTGGCTTGCTCAGAGTGGGGCTGGTTGCTGTGTTGTGGGCTGTTGTTGTGTTGGTGGTTTGGGTTTTTTTGCTTTGCTTCTCTTTCATTTGTGCCTTCCTCTTCGCCCAAGTTGGTTAGGTGGCACCATGGGTTAGGCATCATACTGCCAACCGCAAGGCCAGCGGTTCAAACCCACCAGCTATCCAGTGGCCCCCTGAGGACTTACAGTCTCAGAAACCTCCGCAGGGCTGCTGGCTCTGACTCAGTGGATTTTCACCCAACTTCATGGGTGTGCACCCTCTTTCAGTCCACAATGCCTTTTGAAAACAGGCCCCAAGAACCGCTCAGGAGACATTGAGATGCGTTAAACCTGGGGGGCTTCGAAGAGTTCAACCCCGGTGTGAGCTCACTGAGGACCAGCTCTCCTCAAGGCCAGGGCATGCAGCTCCCCCCCCACTGCTGTGTTTCAGCCGGAGGCGGAGTCAGGCAGCCCTGCTCTGTCGCCACTCACAGCCCGCCCAATGCAGTTGTGTGATTTGGGATTTTCCTCAGCATTGCGCAACCGACACAAATACAGAAGTGTGTGGGGAGCCTGGGGCAGCTTGCGTCTGTCCTGACCACCGGTTTCAAAATGTGTGCCTTCGTCAGTGGTGCCGCACTCCCGGTGGCTGGCCTTTAGGGAACAGGCTGAGTGTGAATTTCAGCCACACGTTGACCGTCCTCAATGGTTGCTTTTATCTGCTTTACTTGCTGGGCTCCGAGACAAGCTTTCCTTCGGGAAGACCGGGCTAGTGTGTGAGGGGAGCTGGCCAGGGCGTGGTGGGAGATGGGTCTGGTTAGCAGGGTGAGGTCAGGCTCAGGAGAGTAAGTATTTGCTGGGGGCTGCAGAGGCAGGCGAAGCACCTCAGCTGCTCAGTGCAGGAGCGTTCGCCCTCAAATCAAACATCCTCTCCCATCCAGCGAGTGGCCTTGCCGGGTAGCCCTCGGCCTCCCCGGGGACCAGCCCTGAGCCTGTCTCCTCCTCAGGGCCCATCTACATCATCACTGAGTACTGCCGCTACGGCGACCTGGTCGACTACCTGCATCGCAATAAACACACCTTCCTGCAGCACTGCTCCGACAAGAGCCACCCACCCGGTGCCCAGCTCTACAGCAATGCCCTGCCCATCGGGCTCCCCCTGCCCAGGTACCGGGGGCCCTCACTCCTCATGGCCCAGAAGGGGGAACAGAGACTGGGGAGGGGCAGCCCTGCTTCTGGAGCCAGCTCTATTGCATAGTCAACCCGCGACCCGGAGGCTTGGCCACCTGGGCTTCAAGAATAGCAAAGGACAGGGATAGCAGTGGTTTGACCAGCTGCCCCCGCTGACCGCCTGTCCGCAGAGTGCCTGGCCTTGGGCTGCATGCTCTGCAGACCAGGCCTGCTGGCATCCATCCATACCCCTGACTGGGGCTGTGGACCACCCCTCCCCTGAGCCGCTCCTGTCCCCTTTTGCCCGGGGAGAGGGCCAGGCGCCCGCTCCCACGTGCCTGCCTCAGCACTCTCTCCAGTGCCCAATTCCCCTCTTCCTCCCCCAAATGACGTTTCTCGTTCCTTTTGCTGATTACAAAAGCAATGCTCATGTCTTGCCGAGATAAAGGACACTTCAGCAAAGCCTATAGAAAGCAGTGAAGCTCAGCCCTGTGGTCCCCAACACTCGGGCCTGACTTCCGTCCAGTCTCTTTTCTGCCCACAGAGAAGAGCGCCGGCTGCAGGGCTGAGTGCTAAGGCCCTGCTGTCCACACTGGGCTGTGGCCGGGCACTGTGGGCACCATGGCTGGGTGATGTGGAGAGGCCACAGAAAGGCCTGTGTTCACACTCATCTCGGACCCCATCCTGGGTGCTATCCTTGCCTCTGGGGATCACTCTCTGGCTCTGCCTGACATCCTGCCCACTGGGGGCCTGATGGGGCTGGAATGGCTCAGTCGGTCGACTGCAGGTGTGGCCGGGCCTTGCTGGGGATGAGAGTCCCGCCTTCTGATTTCCTCTCCCCTGCAGCCATATATCTCTGACTGGGGAGAGTGATGGCGGCTACATGGACATGAGCAAGGACGAGTCGGTGGACTACGTGCCCATGCTGGACATGAAAGGGGACATCAAATATGCAGATCTGGAATCTTCCAGCTACATGGCCCCTTACGACAACTACGTCCCCTCTGGTGGGTGAATGGTGTCTGCACAGCGTGCCTGAGCAAAGAGGGGATCCAGTCAAGGCCTTTCACATGCCCAGCCAGGCAACAGCCTCAGAGGAAGGCCAATTGTGCCCACTTCACAGATGTGGAGACTGAGGCTAGCCACCTGTCCAAAGCTGCTGTGTGGGGAGCCCCAGTCTGAACCCCTGTGTGTAAGCCTTAGGCCCTGAGGCCCATACACAGCCCTTGGGAGGGGAGGTGCTGGCTGCTTGGGGCCTTGGGCGGGGCAGCATGTGCAGAGCAGCCTGGCTGAGAAGCAGAGGGCCCCAGGCTAATGCCCAAAGCTTTTCTGGCCCAGGAGGGCTCTGATAAAGCAGGGGAATCCAAGAAGAGGCAGGAGGAGTCCTTCTCCTGGTCAGGGGAGAAAGACTGGGCTGTCTACTCCCGTGACGAGTCGCTGTCTCAGAAATCCACAGGGGCAGGTCTGCCCTGTCCTATGGGGTCGCTATGAGTCGGCATTGACTTGATTGCAGTGAGTTTGGTTTGAGTTCTGAGCAGAGCAGTGGCCACGGTTCAGCCTCTGTGAGTCAGGGACGGGGCACTGCAGGCCGTGGGCAGCTGAGTGATGCTGTGTTCTCCTCTAGCTCCCGAGAGGACCTGTCGGGAAACTTTGATCAACGAGTCCCCAGTGCTTAGCTACATGGACCTTGTGGGCTTCAGCTACCAGGTGGCCAATGGCATGGAGTTCCTGGCCTCCAAGAACGTATGTGGGGCCAGGGCAGGATGGGCTGATGGGAGGGGGTCACCCAGCCATAGTCCTCCAGTCACAGCGTCACCACCCCTGCGTCCCCTCTGGTGGGTGAGGACAGAATGCTCTCACAGCCCTGTAGCCCCTCAGCCCCTCTCTCCCCACCACCCAGTGTGTCCACCGAGACCTGGCGGCCAGGAATGTGCTAATCTGTGAGGGCAAGCTGGTCAAGATCTGTGACTTCGGCCTGGCTCGGGACATCATGCGGGACTCGAACTACATCTCCAAAGGCAGCGTGAGTACCTTCCCCGAGACCCATGGGGTGTCCCGGGCCCAAGCACAGCATTCCTGGGACTGTGCAGCCGGGGCTCAGGGCCTGGCCCCCCACGCTGTGGTGGGCGTGCTGACCAGGCAGGAAGCATAGGGCTGGGGGGAGTGAGGCTCCGTGGGGGCGGTCGGCCAGACGTGTTTTGGCGGCGATGGGGGCGGCCCCTGCATGCTGGGTGTGGCTAAGGAAGAAGCCCAGACATGAGACTTGAGTGGGTCGCAGGCGGCAGCTGGGACTGATCAGGTAAAGATGTGACCATCCTGGCTGCCCACGTCTGCCCGCTTTCTGGATGGGACAACAAACCCGAGATGGAGGGGGCGCAAGGCCCCCAGAGAGTGAGAGCAGCCATGATCAGAGTGGGTGGGTGGGGGTCTCAGTATGTTCCTGCACCCACACCCACCCCCGACAAGGCCTCCCTGGCCCCGCCCCCCTTCCCTAAGGAACCTCAGGCTCTGAGGCTTTTTCCCAGGAACAGGGCAGCTCCTCTGCGCAGCCTTGCATGGCGGGAGGGGTGCTGTGAGAGTAGAGACAGCCCTCACAGGGACTGGGGGACCCACTAGGAGCAGGGAAGGAGGGCAGCCCTGCCTTGTACTCAACCCCCGGCCTGTCCTCCGCAGACCTTCCTGCCCCTGAAGTGGATGGCCCCCGAGAGCATCTTCAACAGCCTCTACACCACGCTGAGCGACGTGTGGTCCTTCGGGGTCCTGCTATGGGAGATCTTCACCCTGGGTGCGCCGCCTTCTTTCCCCATCCAATGTTTACATCCTAGACAATCCTACGGGCACTTCCACTTTGTCACACGGAGTCCCTGTGAGTTGAGATCAACTCAAAGGCACTAAACCACAACAAACTCAAAACTAGGGGGTCAATTCCAACTCATGGTGACCCTGCAGGACCGAGTACAACTGTCCCTGGGGGTTTCTGAGACTCTTTAGGGGAGTACACAGCCTCAGCTTTCTCCCTGGCAACTGCTGGTGGTTTTGAACTGCTGACCTTGAGATTAGCAGCCCAACGTGTAACCACTCTGACACCAGGGCTCCTAAGCCCCACCAGCAATCCAGTGTGCTCCTGGCTGGGTGGGTCTCTGGGTTTCTGATTCTGGGGCGGACTCAGAGCTCCTGCGGAAGCCTGCTGTCCACAAACCATATGGCTTCCAACAAGGGGCATCCATTCCCTCTAGTCACAGAGGGGCTAGAAGTTCAAAACCAAGGGCCCAGCAGGGCCTTGCTCTCTAAAAGGCTCCAGGGAAGAGAGTCCCTGGGCCTTTCCGGCTTCTGCTAGCCCCAGGCTTTCCCTGACGAGCGGTGGTGTGAGCCCGGTCTCTGCCTCTGGTGTCACCAGGAGTGTTGTCTCTGCCCGCGGTCTCTGTCCAAGCTTCACTCTTCCTAGAAGGACGCGAGTCAGCATGGATTTAGAGCCCTCCTCCCTCCAGAATGCCCTCATCTCAAATCGACTAGGTCTACAAAGACCCTATTTCTAAAGAAGACCACAGTCCCAGGTCCTGGGTGGATGTGGACCCACATGTCCCAATGCTGAGTGTCACTGTGCCCCTCCCCGTGCAGGGGCTGCTCTGTCCTGCCACCTTTCCAAGGACCCTGTCTCTGCCCCACCACAGGTGGCACGCCTTACCCGGAGCTGCCCATGAACGAGCAGTTCTACAATGCCATCAAGCGAGGTTACCGCATGGCTCAGCCTGCCCATGCTTCAGACGAGATGTGAGTGGAGGCTCGTGCACTTGACGGGGTGTTTGGGGGTGCAAGCACTCTAAGTAGCTTGCACCGATGATGGGATTACGGTGGGGGCAACTCTCCCAGCTTCAAACAAAGATAGCTTTATTGGCTCAGAGATCTGGAAAGGCCTAGGTCTGGATGGATTGGCGTGTTCAGCTGATGGCGTCAGGAATCTCATTCCCACTCCCCAGCTCTGCTTTCCTGGGTACTGGACAGCCATGCCCAAGTGGCTGCACTGTCCCCCCACACCCACCCCCATCCCTGCCGCTGACACGGTTCCAGCAAAACTCTCGGGGCTGACTTGACTTTCGCTGGCTAAGCCAACATCACCTGGCCCTCCCAAGCCAGGCACTGAGCCCAGGAGACAGAAATGCCTCAGGCCAAAGCTGAGTCACAGCTGACCCCTGTGGTGTCAGGACACTGGCCTGCGGTGGAGGGAGGGAGCCCCGTGAGAGTAATGGGCTGCGGACATGTAGAATCACCTAGAATCACCACAGCACTCTTACCCTCCCTGGTGCCTTGGCGGTTATTCAACTCCTTCTGAGCCTGGCAGCCTCAGCTCCCCTCCTAAGCCCAGCCTTGCACTAAGCCCAGCCCCTGAGCCCCTGCCTTCTCTCTGCAGCTACGAGATCATGCGGAAGTGTTGGGAGGAGAAGTTTGAGATCCGGCCCCCCTTCTCCCAACTCGTGCTGCTGCTTGAGAGACTGCTGGGAGAGGGCTACAAAAAGGTATGTTGAGGCAGGGAAGGGGAGAGGAACACAGAGTCTGGTCCGTGAGCCAGACACCAGGTATGGGTTCCCCTTTGTCCGTCTCCCTGCAGTGCTAGGAAGGGATGGGCGATGGCCCTCAGTGTATTTTTGCAGCAATGTTGCACTCAAACCTTGTGTGGCAGGTTTCAAGGGGGCCGGGGGCCCTGCAGGCCCATGCACTGTGCGTTTCTTCACGCCCACCTCTGCCACATCCCAGGACTCCCAGAAGACCCGAGCAACCCCGCCAGGAGGAGGGTCAGGCCCCACTTCACTAGGCCCCATGTGCAGGTGTAGACAGGAAAATGGAACTGGTGCTCCTTACAGTCGGCCTCTGCCCCACAGCGGGGATCAGAGCGAGAAGGGACGCAGCCAAGCCTGTCCCTTCTCTGACCCCCATGCCCAGCCCATGTTCACTGTGGCTCACAGACCAGTGGATACATGGACATCATCCCCTTCATGGTGAGGGAAGTGGAGACCCCCGGAAGACCAAGATCCCAGACCTGTCCGGCCTGAAATAAGAGATGGGTTGGTACTGGGCAGTCTCAGCTCACCTTTCTTGTGAGCAGGAGGCAGGAAGCCCGGCGTGTGGCCTTGGGTGACCCCTTGTTGCCCAGCGCACCTATTGTCTTCATGTCTGCTCTGACTCGTAGCCCCCCACAGGACAGGGTAGAACTGGCCCGTAGGGTTTCCCAGCCTGGAATCTGTTCAGAAGCAGGCTGCCACATCTTCTCCATTGGAGAAGCTGGTGGGTTTGAACCGCCAAACTTTTGGTGAGCCAGAACTCCTCTCCTGGGCACCTGTGACCTTACTTATACGAGGGAGGAGGGGCTCAGTTCCCCAGTCCCGGAGGGCATTTCTGGTTCTGACCATCTGTGTCTCTGGCTCCGTCTGCCCGTGGAGCAGAAGTACCAGCAGGTGGATGAGGAGTTTCTGAGAAGCAACCACCCAGCCATCCTTCGCTCCCAGGCCCGCCTGCCTGCCTTCCACAGCCTCCGCTCTGCCCTGGACACCAGCTCGGTGCTCTACACCGCCGTGCAGCCTGAGGGTGACAACGACTATATCATCCCCCTGCCTGACCCCAAACCCGAGGGGGCCGAGGAAGGGCCGTTGGAGGGCTCACCGAGTCTTGCAAGGTAGCCACCCTGACCAGGGCCCCCCCGGCGGTGGTGTGTGTGGTGTACCAGAAGGTGTCTGTGCGCTGCCCGGCCTGCCCCAGCAGAAGTGGCCATGTCCCTAGAGCCATTTGGCCTATGGTACCCTGGGGCGGAAATGATAGGCTGATGAGAGAAACAATGCTTTGGGTCTCATTTGCAAGGAGGCTGCTTCCTCTAAGAGCCCACAGGCCATCAATTCTTCCCCAAGGGAGGAAAAGCTTGCTCAGTCACCTAGTGCCCCCATAGTGGGGTGGGGGGGCTTCTGCACCAGTGCCCGAGGGTCCCCAGGGAGCAGAGACAACTAGGAATGCTCAGGCCAGCATTCACACTGGCAGGGAGATTTGTCTTTGCCTTGAGATGTGGTGACATTCCAGTGTGGGGAGAGGGGAGAGGAAGGCCCACCTATTGACTGGACCTGATGTTCAGATAGGAGCTCCTCATAGCCAGGGAGAAACGTCATCCTGCCCCACCCCCAGCCCCACCAGGCCAGACTCACCCCAAGGCAAGATCTGTATCAAGCGAGATCTCTATCAGGGTGCAGTGGCGGGAGCCCCAGGCTAGCTGCAAGAGAACAGGCTGGCACCTTCTCCTCTGTGAGCCTCGGTTTCCCATAGGTGCCCAGAGCCCACTGAAGGCCTGCCTTGTTCTGATTGTTAAGAAACTCCTCATGGGCAGTGAGGGGAGCAGTTCAGCTCAGAGCTCAAACAGTTTGGGGGGTGGAGAGGCCTTGTTCTGTCTCCTCACCCCTCAAACATGCAGCTTCACCCCTCTGCACTCAGTTCCTCATCTGTACACTGGTGCGGCAGGGCACTTCTGTCTGTAGCCGCGGTGAGGGCCCCCTTTCAGGAGTGGGGATGATGGGGACGGACCATGGGTGGGAGCTTTGGGGCCAGCTGAACTCCCCCAGAACCCTGGCTCCTTCGCTGAAGGCTGTGTGACCCAAGCACTTATGTGGCCTCCTGTAACCTCCCTGGGCTGCATGCCCAGCGTGGAATCTGCTTGCAGGGTGTTGACAGGGATTCGATGGGCAAACGTGTGGAAGGTACGTGGTCCAAGGCCACACGCAAAAGTGCTCGTCAGGTTACTGTTACCTTACTGTGGGTCCCTCCCAGCACCCACCCCTCACTCACCTGCCTTCTGTGTCCCCCTCCCCAGCTTCACCCTGAACGAAGTCAACACCTCTTCCACCATCTCCTGTGACAGTCCCCTGGAGCCTCAGGAGGAGCGGGAGCCGGAGCCGGAGCCGGAGCCCAAGCCGGAGTCTAAGCCTGAGCCTGAGGCTGAGCCCAAGCCTGAGCCTGAACCCGAGCCCAAGCCCGAGCTGGAGCCGGAGCCGGAGCCGGAGCCGGAGCTTGTGTCTGAGCCGGAACCGGAGTCACTGCTGGTTTCAGGCTGCCCAGGGCCTCTGGCCGAGGTGGAGGACAGTTTCCTGTAGAGGCCGGCCCTGCCCCTGCCTGCTGGAAGCTCCCTCTACCTCCCAGCACCCAGCACCTCCTGGCCTGACCTGGCCTGCCATCAGCCAGGCTGCCCCATTAGCTGCCCTCCTCTGGAAGGCATCCAATCTGGCACGGTACGTCCCAATCCCAGGGACTGAGGTGGCAAGAGAACCACGGCTTCCCCCCACACCGGGGCCTCAGTTTCCCCCTCTGTAAGACGGGATAGTGGGGCTGGGGGGGGCGGTGTCCCACAATCTGCCATTGTGTCTCTGACTGACAAGTGGAGTGGGGAGTCCGGAATCCCTTTGGAGCAGCTTGGGTTAATGAGGTGGCAAATAGTTTCTCCCTTCAGCCAACCAGCCCTCAGGGAGCTGCAGCCTGCGGGCCTCTCTGACCTGTGTCTCTGCTGCACTGGCGAGGCTCCCGGCGGACTGGGGCCTGGCCTTGGGCAGCGTGGGCTCAAGCAGAAGACCATTCTTCACGTCCCCAGGCCCGAGCTAGTCTGGGGCCGTGTGTGCTTCACTCACGGTGGGGCTGGGCCACGCGTGGGACCCCCCCCACGCCCCCACGCTGTAGCTCTTGCCTGGGGCCCTCCGGACACAGCCCTCCACCGACTGCATGCAGTCTCCGTGTCTCCTGGGACCTGGCGTCTTCTCTATAAGCACCCTCAGTCTGCTCTACCCACCAGCCTCTCAAGGGCCAGACTGGCTCTGTGATGCTCGTGTGGACATGCCTGCAGGCGGTGTCCACATGCGGCCGGTATGCGGGTGGCCTTGCCTGCCTTGGGCCTGCTATGAGAGCCTGGAGGAAGCCTGGCTCTCTGGGCCACAGCACCCACCTTGGAAAGTGAGCAGGCTGAATGCACGACACCGAGTGCCCCGTCAGCGCTAGCATCCTGGAATATTCTGGGGACGGGGGCTGCCTGGTGAGGCAGAGCTGGACACCCCAAACCCTGCTCTGGGGGTCAGCTGGGGTCTCGGGAGTTTCCGGAACACACATCACGCTCCAGAGATTCAGGAACTGTGCCCCTTCCCCGGCAGCCTCGGGAAACCAACTGTCCCTGCCTTGACTTTGGGTGACAGCCGCGTCCTGGAAACCCCCCTCCGTGCAGCTGCCCTGGGGACGCAGCGAGACCTCGGGACCCCTTCCAGACCTCCTGTGACCTCTCTGGAGTCATTCTGGGGTACGGAGGGCAACTCGAACCACCCAGCTTCTGCTGCCCAAGCCTATGGCACAGACACGGGCAGTCAGGAGGCCCAGAGGGCCCTGTCAAGGACAGGACGCCTGGCATGGGTGCCGCGGGAAAGGGGTTTCAGACTCAGGGCTGGTGGATGGTCCCCAGCCCAGACCTCCGTGGTCTCCCTGCTGTTGGGGGTGTCCTGTGGCCCTCCAGCTGTCCCACTGCCGGGGCAGTGCCCCATGGGGGGTGGTTCTCCTGCTCACCTCAGTTCCTCTGCCAGCCACAGTGACCCAGGAGCATCAGAGGTGCTGAGGGAGAGGGGACAGCAGCCAAGTGTGCAGGCAGGGAGAGGTGGGGAGGGGAGGGGAGCTCTGGCACCAGCACCCACCCCTGCTGGTGGGCACTCTCTGCCCCCCACCTTGCCGGCCCCTGAAGCTGGGCCCAAGAGAAGCAAGGGGGCTCTCACTACGGTACCAAAGATGTAATCACCTAGGTCTACATATTTTTAGGACTCACGTTAACTCACATTTATACAACAGAAGTGCTATTTTGTATGCTGCGCAGTTTTTCCTATCTGTACTTTTTTTTAAGAGAAAGATTTTAATATTAAACACGGTGCTTCTCCCTTAAGAGCTTCAAGACCTCTCTCCGGTTTGATCCCCGTGGGCCTGCCACCCCGGGGGTGTCTCAGTCCGGTCCCTTCTGCTTTGAGCTTTGTTGTCTCGGTGGATCAAACACGCACTTTCACACTCTTCCTTCCCGAGGGCCACCCAGTGGGGCCTCCATTTCCCAGGCGGTGACATGGGTGGCTGTTCTGGCTCTGCAGTGACAGGACTGGAGCTGTCGGGAGGCTCTGGGCCGAGGAGCCCCTCCTGCTACCCCCCACCCCCCCACCATGTGCTTTGGCTTTGGTCGGTAAGCTGGGTCACCCTTCCGGCCCTCCCCCCTCCATCCTGCCCTGGGGTCCAGATTGCAGCTGGCACTGCCACGGTGAGGAGTCTTGGCCAGAGCCCCGTCGTCGCAGGCCCAGGTGAGGAGCGGTTGGGTGCCAGGTAGAGCGAAGCAGACTGAGTGCCCAGTGGGGCCTGAGAGCAGAGAGAGGCTAGGCAAGGGCAGGAAGAGGAGGGAGGGCAGTGTGGCCCGGAAGACGCTGGGGACAGATGGGCCTTGGCTCTGAGGGCAGAAGGGTACAAGCCCAGCTGGCAGCACAGCACTTCTGGGCTCAGCAGGGCAGGAGTGGTGGGGCTGGCAGAGCTGGCATCTTGATCCCTGCTGAGCAACCCGGCTGCCCAGAGGCTGCCCTTCCTCCCTCAGGGAGCAGCATGGGGCTGGGTCAGCCGTTGTGGGTCGGGGAGCTGTCAGAGGTGACAGGCAAAGCAACAGGGTCCTGGACCCTGGGCCTCCCACCTGGCCTTCTTGGCATGGGTCGCTTGAGGTGGGGCCAGCTCCAAGCCTGAGGTCTACACCTGGCTGTGTGACTTTGGGCTGGCTCCCTGTGCTCTCTGAGCAGAGGCAGGGGCCCCTCAGTTTGGATCCGGGGGAGTGACACCTCATTTTAGAGCTGCAGGCCAGTGGCTACAAGTGGAGAGAGGAACAGAGCTGTAGGGCAGCTCTGACTCAGAGGCCGGGCCGCCAACTCAGGGGCAGCTGAGCCACGCCAAGGGAAACCCCAGCCTGCCCCACCCACCAGCCCACTGCAGGGCCTAGTCTTGTAAGGCCCCTCCTCCCAGGTGTCTTGGCTTTAGAGAACACTGGAGCCCGAGACCGCCTTTCTCCTGGCTGTGGCTGGGGGTGAGCACACCAATTCCTGGATCAGCCCCATACAGAATCAGCAGCCCACGCTCCAGACAGACGCCTGCCAGCCCAGAGCCGCCTCCTGCACCAGGCCACGCAGCCTGGTTAGCAGCATTTCTTGTCAACTTTAATCATAGAATCATATGTGCTATCACTGCAAATTGCTTAAATGTAATATCTCTTAGATTATATGAATACTCACGATGAAATTGGCTTAGAAAATCTACATTGAATCACATTATTAGTTACATTATGAGTAACTGAACAGATATTAAATAACTTTCCCCTTTTCCTTTAATTATTACTTCAGTCTTAAAAAAGTTATTGATACGGGTTTATAACAACTAAAAAACAACAACTAACACAATGAAACTCGCTGCCCTTGAGTTGGATCTGACTCACAGCAAAATGTAAGAGAGTGCAGACTGGCCCTGCGGTTGCTGAGGTCTTAAAGCCTCACGGGGACAGAAAGCCTCCATATTTCCCCTGCAGACAACTGGGGGGTTTGAACCATCAATCTTGTGGTTAACAGTTTGATGCATAGCCCACTCCTCCACCAGGGCTCCACAATGAAACAGCAAGAAATTTGACAAAATCAGTAAGGATCAAACCACTGATAGCAGTGTAAACAACAGTGTGTCCCGGTAGCAGGTGCAGACAAAGCCATGGGATTCAAAGTGTGGTTGTCATTGGGTAGCGACGACAGCACTGACCTGAGCACAAGAGAAGGTTCAAAAAGTAAGTTAGCCTAGAGCGTTAGCCTGGTAGGTGTGTTGATACCTGTAAGCTGGCTTAGGAAAACTGGTTTTGGCTGGAAGTGGACAAGGAAGGGCCTGCTGCGGGCTCCTGGGGTGGGCTGACACTGGTCAGGAGGGAGATGACCTTGGAGATGACCTTGAAGATGCAATGAAGAGTCCTTCCTTGGTCGCAGTTCCTTGCACGGATTCACCAGGGCGTCCTCTGGGCATCCGTGGGCCCATCAGATGAGTATACCGGGCTGCTACCTGTTCTAGCCCGGCAAGCTGCTAAGCTGACCTTGGACCCCACTGATATCCCCCTAGGACTCCGAAACACAAGGCCATCACTCCATGCACAAAATGGCCTCTCATTACCAGTCCTCCAGCCCGCCGCAGGGACCCGCGCCTCTCATGGGGATTAGCTTATAGGACTGGGAGAGAGCTGCAGGTAGGCCCTCATTCAATGGCATGGGCACTTTTTTTCCTCTTTTTTGATTGTGAACATTTTGTGTGGTTTGGGGGAAGAGTCTCTGGGCAAGATGACTCCCCTTCAGGGATGGAGACACGGCTGGGCGGTGGCTGGGTCGCAGCCCTCTCCCTGTGGCACTGCTCTCCTGGCTGACTTCCCCTCTGGGTCTCCTGCTTCCCTTCGCACCCATCCCCGCCCCGCCTGCGCCCTGGGGCTCTCACCTTGCGGATCTGTGAGTTGCACGTCCCTCATATTCTTCATCCTTGCGCCTGCTCTCCGTAGGTCTATTGTCTGGGAGGGGGTTCCACTCTTCGTCAGAGGGGTGCCTCGGGCTCACTGTCTCGGAGATTCCACCAGCCTCATTCAGCCCAGTGGGTTTAACTGTACTTAGGTGAGTTTAAAGTTACACTGGTATGCGTTTCTCTGAGCTCATCAGCTGTGCTTTCCGTCAGATTGGTCAGTAGTGGGAGTAGAGGGCACTATCTAGAGCAGTGGCTCTCAGCCTTCCTCAGGCCGCAGCCCTTCAATCCAGTTCATGTGGTGGTGATCACCCCCAACCATAACATTACTTTTGTTGCTACTTCATAACTGTCATTTTGTTACTGTGATGAATCGGCCGACCCCTGTGAAAGGGTCATTCAACCCCCGAAGGGGTCACGACCCACAGGTTGAGAACCACTGATCTGGCTCTTCTGATCTCAGGATGATGAAGGTTGTGGTTCCCACGGTCCATTAGTCCGTTGGACCAATTGTTTCCTTGAGTTTCTGGTTTTCTTGTCTCTTCCTTGCTCTGGATGGGAAGAGACCAATGGCCGTGTCTTGAATGGCCACTTGCAAGCTTGTAAGACCATTTTCTGTTCATTTTAGAATAAGCTGCCTTTTTGCTGCTATAGACTGGTCTGTAGCTAAACCGATATAAAGGATCGTGTTTCGAAGCAGCATGTTCAGGTTACTTTACAGATAGAACTTTGTTAATATTCAAAGAGGAAACTGGAAGGAAAAGACAAAGAACTATTTGGTCGCTATTACTAACCCCTGGGATTTTAAACTAAAAATCACACATTTCGACTGAAACGCTGCACAAAAATGTCACAGCCATTTTAGTGTCACTCTCTCCGACTGCCATCTCCTGTGGTCTACAGTCTCCATCTGGCAGAGCGTCAGATCTGCACGGTGGCATCCTGGACATCCTCTAACTGCATGAGAGGGACAGAGCACCACATCGGGACCAGCCCAAAGCTGCATCCTAGGAGGTGAAGATCAAACACACTGCCTCCCTCCAGCCTTCTGACACCCACTGTCCCTGCCACGCACCACACCCTCTAGTTCTCTGCTGGCCTTGAGAATCCCTTACAAGGGTCTTGCGGAATTCACAGATCATACTTACAGTTCAAGATGAGAAATTACCTGGGATGTTGTTCTTGAATCAAGACAGCCCTCTTCACAGGCATGGTCTCCGACAGGCCTCCTGCTGCCCTCAGCCCTGGACCTCTGGAGCTGCCCCAGCCCCTGTCCTGCTCAGACAAGTAGTACAAAGCTCTTTAGTGCCACCAGTAAGTGGCCAGCGGCTTTGCAGTCCACCAGCAAGTCTCTGTGGCCAGGAAGTCCGCCACCCAGTCACCTGCCAGACTCTTGGTTCTGCTGCTTCTGTTGCCACGGTGTCTCTGCCCCGGCCGGCTTCTCTGTCTCTGGCATCACATCTCTGTCTGTTTCCTGGGTCTAGGAGGGCCTCAGCACGAGGATCCTGAGTCTGATGGGCACACTCTCCTCCTAGCTCTTCCTCCTTAGTGATAGTGGCCCTCACTGCCTTGGGATAGGCTCTTAAAGCAGATTGTGGAAGGACAAAACTGACCAATCCTCTCATGAGGGTTCCTTATATCCCTTATTTGCATGGTCCCACCACACAAGAGGGCCAGGCGCCTTATTTAATTAGAAAACTATCCCAAAACCGTAATGAGCCACAAGCACCTCATTAGCACCTCTCTCCTCACTGCCATCGAGGCGAGGCCGACTCATAGTGACCCTTCAGGACAGGGTAGAGGTGCCCCTGTGGGTTTCTGAGACGGTAATTGTTACCAGGAGTAGAAAGCCCTGTCTTTCTCCCAGGTGGTTTCAAACTACTGACCTGTGGTTTGCAGCCAAATGCATAACGATTATGCCACCAGGGCTCCTATTTGCATACTCTAACCTAATTTTTTAGTGTGAATTATAAGGCCGTATTAGAGGAGTCCCACACTAAGTAATTTACTGTGTCATAAAGGTCTTCAGTCCCTTCCACGACTCGCTCATGGGGCCCTTGGGCAAATCACATCACCCCAAGCTTCAGTTTCTCCATCTGCAAATGGAGCTAGGAGACCCCGAGAACTGCAAGTCATTAATAAGCCCCACTTGCTAACTGGAAGGTTGGTGGTTCAGATCTACCTAAAGGTGTCTCAGAAGAAAGGCCTGGTGATCTGTTTCTGAAAAATCAGCCATTGGAAGCCCTGTGGAGCTCAGTTCTACTCTGACACATTTGGGGCTGTCAGGAGCCAGAATTAACTCCACGGCAACTGATTAATGATGCTCATGACACCACAGTGAGATTAAGGATGGAAAACACTGGCTTCTACTGACTAAGTGGCTGCTTTGAG